TACTGGGAGGGTAGAGGGAAGGTGAGGGAGAAAGGGGGAACAGATTACAAGGATCTACATATAACCTCCTCCTTGGGGGATGGACAGCAGAGAAGTGGGTGAAGGGAGACATTGGATAGTGTAAGATATGACAAAATAATAATTTATAAATTATCAAGGGTTCATGAGGGAGGGGGGAGCAGGGAGGCCAGGGACAAATGAGGAACTGTTGCCAGGGACTTACATGGAGAGCGAATGTTTTGAGAAATGATGAGGGTAATGAATATACAAATGTGTTTTATACATTTGGTGTATGTATGGATTGTGATAAGAGTTGTATGAGCCCCCAATAAAATGATTAAAATTTTTTTTGTTTTCTCATTTGAATATCACAGTATCTATAACCAAGAAAACATATTTCTTGCCACTGAGTCAATACTGATTCATAGTGACCCTGTAGGACAGGGTAGAACTGCCCCTATTTGTTTCTGAGGCTGTAACTCTTTATGGGAGTAGAAAGCCCATCTTTCTCCCGTGGCCTGACTGGTGGTTTCAGACTGCTGACTCTGCAGTTAGCAGCTCAACACCTGACCACGGTACCACCAGGACTCCTTGTATCTCGATAGAGTGAATATTTTTGCAGTTGCCGTTTACAGATGAGGACAATGAGGCTAGGAGAATTAAGCCAAAAACCAACTAAACATATTGCTGTCAAGTCAAATCCAATTAGTAAAGATCCTGTAGGGAAGAACAGGACTTCTCTACAGGGTTTCTTAGGCTAGCTTTTTATGGAATTCAACTTTTTAAAAAATCATTTTATTAGAGGCTCATACAACTGCATTGAGGGAGTACTTGAGTGGAGGCCCAATGTCCTTCTGCTACCTGGAATTCAACTTTTATGGAATCATCTTTCTCCCCTGGAGTGGCTGATGGGTTCAAATCATCCACTTTTAGGTTTAGTAGCTTCATACTTAACCAATCTGCTATGACTAAGGCCTTATTTGAAAATAGAGGATTTTGGGGGTGTAATCAAGATAAGAGGAGGCCATACTGGAGTAGGGTGGGCCCTAATGTAACATGGCTGGTGTCCTCATCCACGATCACCCAAGTCAATTGTTTCCAAGCCTGGAAATCATTAAGGGAACAGATAGCCTCACTTTTCTTCCTTGGAAAGGCTGGTGGCTTTGAACCGCTGACGTTGAGGTTAACAATCGGCCACTTACTCTACAGAGTCACCAGAGGGAATTTGAACACACACATACACACACACACACACACACACACACACACACCATGGACACCAGAAGCAGAGACGAGTAAAAGTAGCTGCCAGCCGAGAAACCAAGAACTGCCAGCAACCACCATAAACTAGGTAAGGGTCATGGGGCAGACTTCCCCTCAGAGCCTTCTGAGGGAGTATGGCCTGCAGACACCTTCATATCAGGTTTCTAGGCTCCAGAACTGTGAGAAAATAAACCTTTCTTGCTTTAAGCCACCTCGTTTATGGCAATCTGTTAAAGCGGGCCTGGGAAACAGGAGAGTTAGAACTCAAAAGCTGACCTAATTCTAGGCCCCATGGTCTCTGTTGCTGCCACCTTTCCCTTTTTACTCCCATTGCAATGGTCCCACTTTCCATTAAGGGCCCTGTTTGGTTCCTGGGAGACTAACTCCTAAGGGGTCAAAGTTGATTGGCAGGATGCAAGTGACGCCAGCCAATTCAGTGCAGATGGAAGGCAGGGCTCGGGATGAAGGTGCTCTCTTGTCTTTCATACTTCACACTGAATGTGAAATCAATATCCAGGGAGCCCAAACTAAAATGACTGCAGAGAAATGGAAGGGGTGGTGACAGCATGACCCTTTGTGGCAGACTGACACTGAAGTCCGAGCTCCAGCCATCCTGAGAACCAGCCAATCCCTTCCTGTTGTGTGTGGTCAGTCAGGTTGAGGTCAGTTCTCTGTAACTGACAGCCAAGAACATTCCAAGGGATGTGTTTATACTGTTCCAAACTTTCTTAATATTCTGCCTGGACCTGCACATAACAAAGCTTCCCCTGGGGACTGGAATTTCTTTTGATAATATATTTTAAAATTTATGTACCACGTTGCTGACATTCTCTTCCAAATGGACAGAAGGCTCTGTGATCCCCCAAAGGAATGGATCTCCGGGGTTCTTTGGTTTTGGAGACTTTTCCTTTTTTTCAGGAAAAATGATAGAGAAATCTTTAAATTACTTTATGGTGATTCTGAAACTCCAGCAATCTCCGTGGGTGAGAAAAATGGGAAAAGCATTGAGTACTGCTGGGACATTGTTAGTTTACTCTTGTCACCTCCTCCTCTACCCAGCACACCCACAGCAAACTGGTCTTAGAAAACTTGCGTTAGGGTTGTTGCCCCCTCTCCATTTAAATGCCCACCCCCTGGTTTCTGGGGCGACAATTAAACATGATCTCAGTTACCCGCTCTACCAGAGGGTTGAATCATGATTTTGACTGTTCTCCAACTAGGTCTGCTTGCATTCTAGTCTCAAATATTGAAGCACTTTCTCATTTTGCAAAAGTGAATCTGAGAGTGATATTTCAGAGCACCAAGGATGTATTTAGGGGCAGAGAAACATCCCATTTTCCTCTTGGATCATTTATCTAGTGGCATTATTGTGTACTTAGCTAGGTTAATCTCAAATATGGACCTCTATGTTTAACCCAAACCTGTTGCATCTGAAATGTTCTCTTGCTCTCTGTGTTTGTTTATTTCCCCTATTTCCCTATCTCATACACACATTTCAATCATGTTTGAGATAATGGCAGGGGAAAGCAGGTGGGGTGGCAGGAAACAAGTGAACTGATTCCCTATCTTTTCACATGTGCTCGGATGGCTGTGGCAATGATTCCAAGGTTATGTACATCACAGGTGGACACTGACTCGTGGCAACCCTGATGTGTGTCAGAGTAGAACTGGGCTCCATGGGGTTTTCAATGGCTGCTTTTTTTAAGAAGTAGCTCACCCAGCCTTTCTTCAGAGGCACCTTTGGGTAGATTTGAACAGCCAACTTTTCTGTTAGTAATTAAACATTAATCATTGGACCTACCCAAAGACGCTTACAGAGGCTACTCAGAGCCTTAGCTGGCTGCGGAGATCTTTATTGAGGAGGGAGATCTCCGGTTGGAAGGACCAGTGTCTCCACAGTCAGAAGGCGGATGAACAGTTAGGCACTCGCTTTGCTATTTGTGTGGGTAACACGATCTTCACCCCATTGTGTCCTAAGGCATAGCCTAGATTAGCCTCGGCATGACTTTTCTATTCAGCATAAAGGAGAGTGTTATACTTGTGTCCCCCATAGTTCAGAAAAGCTCAGATCTGTGTTGTGATTTTTGCAGCCTGCTGTTTGGAATAGTCAGTGAGTCCCTCTGGGTAGCACAAATGGTTAGATGCTTAAATGTTAGCAAAACACTCTGCAGTTTGAACTGCAGAGTCCCAGAGACACCTTGGAAGACACCTTGCAAGACAGGGTTAGTGATCTCCTTCTGAGAGGTTACAGCCTTGAACAGTCAAGGGGGTTCCACTCTGTGCGCACAGGGTCACTATGAGTTGGAATGAACTTGATGGCAGTGAGCAGGGCTTCCCCACCCTGCCTTTGCTTTTTTTGTTTTGTTTTCACAGTAATTAATAGCTGTTTGCATTTCTAAGCTGTTCTTTTTCCTCTTTTGACCTCAAAAGAGGAAAGCCATATACAAAAGCCATATATAAAAGACCCACACACGTTAAAGTTAATCCAATCACCAGGCTCCAGCCCCTTAGCAGGAATAAGAAGGCAGCCATTGGATCCAGACATGCTTGCAGGAGGGGTGGGAGGAGGGCACTGAGGTGGAGGGGGCTACAGTGCACACTGTGTGGTCCTGCAGAGTCTCGGAGAAGGGTGACAGTGCAAGAGGCGGTAAGGCTGCAGGCAGGACTTTTGGCCAAAGGTCAGTCCACTGCCAGTTCCTGAGGACCCTGAAGGTGTGCATCTCTATGTGAATTAATGTGTCTATTGGTGGGGTTGTCACTTGATTTTAATCTTTCAGGAGATTATAAACTCCATGAAGATAGGAGTTCTGGTTTGCAAACAGTGCTTCCTAGCATCTGAGCAAGTTGCTGGTGCATTAGTGTGCAGAAATATTACAGTTAAAAATGAATGAATGAATGAATGGAGAGTCATTTCATGCTGAGGTCAGCTGTAGTCAGGGTGGAGTATTTGGTCTGAAGGTTCCAAGTGAGATTATGATGTCTGTATTTGTGATGGTTGATACTATGTATCCATTTGGTTTAGCTATGGTGCCCAGTTATTTGGTCAGACACTAAACTAAATATTGCTGTGATGGCATTTTCTGATGGGATTGATATTTACAGTCATTTGCCTCTGAGTGAAAGAGATTACCCTCAATAATGTGGGGCTGATCCAATCAGTAGAAGGCCTGAAGGGGGAAAACCTGAAATTCCAAGAGAAGGAATTCTGCTTCAAGAAAGTAACATACAAATTCTGGTGGTGTTTCAAGCTCTCTACCTGCCCTATAGTTTGCAGAATTTCCAGCCCTGAAATTGTATGTATCAGTTCCTTAGGGGAAATCTCTTTTTACACACACACACACACACACATACACACACACACTGACTACGATACTATTCAAAGGATCTCATCACAGCTCAGTTCTGGTGGCCTGGAGCTTGGGCTCCTGCCTGGGGAACCAACAGGCCTGTTCCCAGAGCCCCTCAGTTTGCCCTGCTGTCATCGCAGGGCTGCTTGGGTGGTCCAGCAGCAGTCCCTGCTATCTGGAGGGGGTACATTTGGAGCACAGCACTTTCCTGAGACTCTTTCCACAAACTCCAGCCAACTGTGGTGGGCCAGCTTTCGTTATTCCTACGGACAGTGGAGCACCACTCCTGAGGAGCTAAGAAGCAGGTGTGTGCTCTGTGGTGACCAATGAGAGAGGACCGATTGATGCTTGCTACTGCTAGGGAGCAACATGAAATTGAAATCACACCAGTAATTTCAGGGGTTTAATTGCATCTATAGAATCTGAGGAGGGAGTTGCATTGGGGGATTTAGATGAGCCCAAGCTCTTTGGAGAATATTCTTTGTGCAGCTTCTTTACATCCTTTTTACAGTTGGTTCAGTTTGAAGAACTTCATTGTCCACAAGATGGAGTGATATTGAGCTGTGAGGCACCATCAGCAGCAAATGACAGTGGCATTGGCACAGCCCACAGGAGAGCGGTTTTCATTATACATTTCCACCAAGACTTGGTATTCTCCCTGCCAAGAAAGAGGGGGAGCATCAGGCATGTGTCCGCTAGATAATCAAACATTGGAGACATTTATTGAGTACCTACTATGTACAGGAATCCCGGGGTGGCTCAAACAGGTAAGAGGTTGACTAGTAACCATAAGGTTGGAGGTGACTCAGAAGAAAGACCTGGCAATCTGTTCCCCAAAGGTCACAGTCTTGAAAGCCTGACATGCATGAGCTTGCAATGCATTGGAGAATACCGAACAGAGCCAATGGCTTTCTGCCCTGTGTAGCTCATGGTCTAGCTGGGAGAGGCAGGCAACCACATATTATAATCAAGTATCATGGTAGGTAGATGGTGATCACCACTACAGAGAAATCAAGTAGGAGAGGTGGGCATGGCGTGCTAGGTGCTGCCAGAATAGGGCAAGTCCAGTGCTGGTTGGCAATTTTAGGTAGGGAGGTCAACACTGGAGCTACTGAGAGGGTGGTGTTTAGGCAAAGACCTCAAGGAGGCTTAAGAGTGGAGGATGGTGTTCTAATACAGGAAAGGAAACGTCTGCCTCACCTGAGAAGAGTGAGAGGAGATGAGGCCAGAAACACGAAGGGCAATCAAGCTCATGGGCCACAGGAAAGGTTCGAGCTCACACTCAAGGGGTGTGGTCCTCCAAGAGTTTGGCAGAGGTGTGGCTTGGTTAATGGGTTGCTTTGGCTGCTGTGTTGAAGAGACGTGCTCTGGAGACAGTGAGATCAGCAAGACCATGGAGGTGGCTACGGCCACAGTCCAGGTGGGGGGTGGGGGGGTGACATGTGGCAGGATTCCAGATTAATTTCAAAAGAGGAGTCAATATTACTGTTGAGGACATTTTTGTAGGGGGTAGAGTGGTGGCGAGGGTAATGGTGACACAAGGACTTTGACCCAAGTTACTGGAAGGGTGAAGTGCTATTTGCTGAGCTTGAGAAAGCCATTGGAGGAGCAAGTTCTAATGGCACAAAAGGCTGCATCAGAAAAGGCATCGGACCCTTTCAAGATTCATTTCTGGTAATGAGCAGTTTACGGAGATGGTGTAGTATTGTCTAAGGAATCCTTATGTGTATAGCTGAAAGTGAATCACAGAGAAGTATTCTGACAACCATGGAGAATCGGAAACGGAAGGAAGACCCTAAGCACTGAGCTGAGTCTTTTGTGTTCACTGCAGAGCCCCCGTGTAAAGCACCCTACAGGCCACTCCGTAGGTGTAGAGGTTTGCTGACTCTCCGATCTGCAAGGGAAACGATTCTGCTGGTGGTGGGAATGAGGAGCCCTGGTGGCATAGTGCATTGGGTTGCTAAAAACAAGGTCACTAGTTGGAACCCATAAGCCATTCAATGACAAAAAGATGAAACCGTCTTTTCTGGTAAAGATCTTCAGCCTCTGATTCCCTATGAGAGCAGCTCTACTTCCCACTAGAGAGTCAAGTAGGAATCCATTGAATGGCAGTTTGGTTTGGTTTGGTAGTGGGAGGGGACAGGTAAGAAGGTAAAAGAATGGAGAGATGGATGGTAGGGTTGGAAGCACAAGGAACTCCTGGCAAAACTTTGAACAGCCTGACACACAAAAGAAGAAAGAGGCTTAATTTGTACATGTGATAGTAAAGGTTTATTGTGCCAACCTGGCCAATAAACACATGTGGGATTAATTGAAGGGTGGCGAGATAAATGGGTTGGTGAGCCTGGCCTTTTTGGTTCTCAGGTCTCTTGCTTTCTGATGGTCGGACCAGGGTGCAGCTGCCTTAGCTAGTTCCCTGCTTTAGTTGGCAAGGCTCCCTTCCTGTGAGACATCCCTGAGGAGAAGCCACATGGACCTACCTTGATGCAGCCCTGGGTGCTGGAGCAGCTGTGTGGAGACCCCTGTCAGCGTTCAGATGCTTACACATTCACTGATTTGGCTTTCCTCCTGCAGTCAGCATCATTTCATGTGTTTTGTGAGTTTGAGGAGGACTTTGTAGATCGATGTCGGACATATGGGCTAATGTTGGACTTATGGGCTTAGACTGGACTGGGTTGGGATGCTTAATGTACAATTACCCTTTATATAAACTCTCTCATATAATATAGTTGTTTATGAATTTTGTTTCTGTAGTCTACCTAGACAAGTAGTTCTCAACCTGTGGGTTGCAACCCCTTCGAAGGTCAAAAACCCTTTCACAGGGGTTGCCTGACTCATAACAGTAGCAAAATTACAGTTAAGAAGTAGCAACAAAAATAATTTTACGGTTGGGGGTCACCACAACATGAGGAACAGTATTAAAGATTGCAGCATTAAGAAGGCTGAGGACCACTGACATAGACTAAACAGTATAAAGCTGCAGAGCAGGAATAAATTAGACCACTGGATAGAGGTCGCCCAAGAGAGAGCTTTTCTTAAGAAATAACAAGTTTCTAGCAATTAGCAGAACCTTGGGACTGTGGATGCATCAACACTACAAATTGTATTCCAGAGACTTGGCTGTGAGAATTATCCTAAGGCATCATTCAATTGGAAGATGTTGTAAATCTATGGGCTCCCATGAGTCTTATTGCTGATATCGATCAGCTATAATTTCATCAGAAGTGTTAGGGATTTAACCAAACCAATGTCAAAATCAGAGAATTAATTATGGATAGAAGTCAACTCAAAGTTTTATTGACTTCTCTGTTTAATAACAATAACAATGATAATACATTAGTTTTCTTGTAGTTCTTCTTGTGCATTTAAGTACATGCCCTATGCACTCATGGAAGCCAAATGAATTGTTTTTCATTTCTCCATGAGTTTAGGAAAAGGTACAGCATTTGGAGGAAAGAGGACATATGTCGTAGCTTGCAAATTAGGAAATAAGCGAACATAGTATGTTTGAAGAGGTAAGAGTGTTTAGGGAGCTGGGCCCAGGACATGAAGGACGCAAGCAGATCAGTGCCAGAGCAGCCTTCTTTCAGTGCCAGAGGTTTGGCAGTTTCATTCTGGGTAATTTCATTGTTCCATCAGTACCTACAAGTTCTTATTATGTGTGTTGGGAGCTCAACTCACTCACTCACTCACTCACTCACTCACTCACTCACTCACTCACTCACTCACTGCCATTGAGTTGAGATTCCAACTCCAAGCACAGCGACCCTATGGGATAGAGAAGAACTGCCCCATTTTTGTTTCCAAGGCTGTAATTTTTACAGGAGCAGAAAAGCTCATCTTTCTCCTGCTGAGTGGCTGGTGGTTTCGAACTCCTGACTTAATTGTTAGCAGCCAAATGCATAACCCACCAGGACTCCTAAGGAACCTGAAGGATCTTTAAATTCTAATTCAGAAGATAGTTGGAAGATAGAGGACCCCAGGCAGGACTTCCATTCTTGGCCAAGGGACTAAGTTTGTTGGAGAGAAGATGGTACCTAGAGACTGAAGACGGAGTGCTAAGTGACAGAGTGCTGAGTGCCAATCTTAGCTCTGGTGGCTTAGTTGAAGAAAGGGATGTGGGGGAGGTCTTTTAAACATAAAGACTTAGCAGTGTATCTATCTGTCCCATATTAAGGAAGCCAAGTCTCTGTGTGCTGACCGGATGGCAGCCAGGGAGGCCTGGGCTGCTGTGGCTGGTGTGCAACCAACATGGACCCCCGTGCTGGGATTCAAAGGCCTCCCGCTGCCTAGGTGCATGGGTGGTGTGTCCCAGCTGGGCAGGCCCAGGGGTGAGCAGGTGGGGAGGCAGGTCAGCCCTTGGCAAGGGCCTTTTTGGCTGAGGCCATGGGACAGAAGAGGTGGGAGAACTGGACATCCTTCATCAGCCCAGACCCGGAGTCAGCTCATCTCGCTCTCTCTGCCCTCACTCTGGGTAATGTCTCCTGGAGCATTAACCCTCTGGTACTGCACTTCCCACAAATGTCTTAGGTGATCTCAGTAAAGATTTTTAACATTTCTGTTTTGTTTTGTTTTCAAAAGAAATTAAGTTGTTTTCAACTCCTTGCAAATTTTAAATCAGTCTGTAACAAGGAGGTGGGCACTACTCTTCTGTCTGTGGGTCTTACTGAGGTGGCTTGCATGTTGCTGTGATGATGGTAGATATGTCACCAGCATGTCAAAGACGGGCAAAGGTACCTGTGCTGCACAGGGTTCAGCAGAACTTCCATATTAAGACTAAGAAGAAAGACCTGGTGATGTACTTCTGAAACTAGATGAAGAAAACTTTATTGCCAGCGAAGCACTTGAGTAGGAGTCCTCTAGCTTGGAAGACAGGACATGATGAGCAGAACAACGGGCTCAAACATAACAAAGATCATGGAAAGGGTGCAGGGTGAGGCGACATACTGTGTGCCGCACAGACCGGACGGCAACACCAGGACAACACAGTGTGCATGATAGCAGGAACATAGGGAAGGAGAAATGACTCAAATCACAAAGTTTAAGGAAAAACCAAAAACAATTTGGGAAAACTTCAGCCCCCACACTCTAATTTTAGGAGTGAAAGGATCCTGAGTTCTTCCTTACTAAAACTTTATAGGCTGAGATGCGCAAACGGGAAACTCTGGGGAAGGATGGAGGAGGGAATGCTCGAAGCTCCCAGCCTACTGGGAGTTTGACGCAGCTCTGCAGGGTTCTGTTCTCAGGGCAGGAGCCCAGGGGCTGGGACAGAAAGGAAAGCTGTGAGAGGAGGCACAGGCATGATGCCAAAGAGGTTCTTCATCGAGGACTCACCTTTCTAGAGGGGTGCACAGGTTTTGGAGGACTCAAAGGGTGACTTGGGAAACAAAACGAAACAAAAATTCACTCTTGCATTTTTGTGATTCTTCTGATGTTGTCCCCGAAGATTCTCTCAGGAGCACCACATCAAAACGTCATGACTTTTGTCATGGCGACTTGGAGTCAGCCATCTGATAAAATCGCACTCTTTGCTGTGGGCCTTGCCAACGGTTGCTCAGGATGTGGGCATGGAGAGTGTGGTCACAGAGACTTGGGGGGAATTTATGCCAATGTGGTTGGTGTGTCTTCCTTCCTCAGCATGGCAGGCCTTTTCCAAAGCCCTGCTGATGCCCCAGGTGGCTTCTCTCACAATTCCCAAGCAGCTCGACTCACACGGAGTTTCTGAGGACCCAGAATCCTGCTGGACAAGGAATTGGGCTTCCTCTCAGGAGGTTTTCTACTCAGGGGACCCTGAAGATTTCCCCGACAGTCCAAAGGAGCATCAAATGTTAAATGCTGGACTGTCCAAACCAAGGGGTCAAGCATTTTTAAGTGTCCACTATGTACTAGGTATTTATGGAGGTAACAGCTTCATTAGGAAAGGGTTTTCTTAGTGATGGTCTAGAAAAACATTTTGAATTATTTGATTCTTTTCTTCTCATCTCCCTTCATCCTATTCTCTTCTCCTTCTTCAATAACTCGTTAATGTAATTAAAGAATACAATCAGACAGAACAACATCTTACCTCAGGGATGTCAAATCCAATATTATTGACAGGGCCAGCATAGTAAAACTTTTCTGAAAAAATATAAAACATAGATAATTCTATTCAATTATTGAAAGCAAACAGTTGATTTGCTCAAATTATCTGTGATTACTGTGTAGTGATTGCTCTTACTAGGTAATAGGAGTTATTCCTATAAGCAATTTCATTTCCTGATTCCAACTACCATGCATTCTTTCAGCCAACAAACATTTTCTGAGCATCTACCATGTGGCAGGCACTGGGAATCCAGCGATGGAAAAACAGGGGACCTACTGACAAGGGTAAGCAAAAATGATAGAAACCTTGCTTCAAACTCATAGCAACCTTTATTGTCCAAAAATATCACAATGTGAAGCTGTTGTTTCTCAGCACATCTTCCCTGTAGGTCTATACACTTCTGGAGGAAGTGATGTCATCTCTTGCGCCTTTCCTCAAAAAATCTTGTACTTTTTATTTAGACCACATCAAAATAAGAGTTTGGGCACCCTCGAGGGACACAAGTTGTGTTCCTTTTCAATGATCATTGAGTTTGGAGAGCATAAAGTCGTCTGAGGGGCAAAGTTGGGGGAGTAAGATGGACGGATGGGTTAAGGTTTCCTAGCGAAACTCTTAGCGGACACTCCTTGCTACCATGGAAGAATATGCAGGTTCTTTGTTGTGATAGAAAATATTCCTTAGCACAACTTTCTCATTTATGCAGTTTTAAAATGCAGTTTTAAAATAAGTCCTGATCATCTGGTGCCTATTGAGAACATCTATTAAGATTTTCCCTTTGGAATCCCCCCAAAATAGTCACTATAACTTTCTGAGATGATCTCCATGCCCTTGAATTTAATTGGCCTAGCAGATTCCTTTGTAAATCACTGTTCTTTTTTTTTTTTAACA